AAAATAGTCATGGAGTCTTACATAGATAAAATTCCCAGCAGACCTTCAAATTTGGCGGTTTCATTTCGTTTCACGAAAACTTGCACAGATATGTTTAACAGCTTTCTTGAAATAAATATTGGTAGCGAAAAATGGATACTCAGAAGACCCTTTGACTTCTCAACTGTGCGCTTAATTACTCTTCATTCCTGAGAAATCTTCTGCAATAAGGTCTTCGCTTTATTATATATAGATGAGATAATTGCTCATTGAAATGGTCGAAAATTGAGAAAAAATTGACTTAATCCGTTATGCGAACATTCATATTCGGTCATTCATACCCAAATATTCGATGATTCAAATATTAGAATATCCAGGATCTCCGCTATTCAAATATTGATTCGAACTTTTAGGATTTGAATATTTCATCCGTTCGAATATTTTATCACGAGCGAAATCCGATATTCGTTCTTTCGAAAATTTTTCGGAATTCTCAACTTTTTTCGTGTCTTTGGAGCAAGAGGCGATGTTTGCGCTTTCTTTCCGTTTTCTTTTTGGCCACAGAGAGAGAGGAGAGAAAGAAGGAAAGATAGGAGAGATAGGAGAGCACCTTAAAAGGTATCCTAATCTCTTGTGAGTATGTAATCTCTTGTGACGTTAAAAGCTCTATCGACACAGGACTAACAGGCGGACCAACACTAACATAGCGCATATTTCATAAGAGCGCATTATTCTCTCATCCATGCGCACCCGCTATCTGCCGCGCATGAGTGCGGTGCATGCAATGAGCGTTGACCACGCGCTTTGGTCTGCACCGAATAACTTTAGATGCGGTATACCTACATGAAATAGGATAAATGGATTTGCAAGTATAAAGAATTCGCCTTATTCTCAAAACAATCCTAAGATTTCTCTGGCCCGTATGGCCGGACTACATAGTTTTGATCTCTTACTATAGATGATTTAGGAAATTTGTAACATAGTCTAAATAATGTCTGTCTTGAATGGTTTAGGCTAACTGCGATCTCTGGGTAAGCCAGTTTTGCGCACTTAGTAGTATATATCGCATGGGTCTAGGATACACAACAATTCATTGAGAATACCATTTACCTTGAATGCCGTTCTTATGCAATTCAACCCCTTAGAGCAAAATCCTTTTCATTACTTAGACAGTCATATTATTTTCAATTTGCCGTTGGGAACTTCTAAGAAAGAAGAGATTTCAGTGTGATGATGATTGATGAAGCACACGAGAGAACCCTACATACAGATATTCTCTTCGGTCTTGTCAAGGATATTGCTAGATTCAGAAAGGTTGGATCTTACACCACTGACAAAATTGAGCAAAGGCATATTTTCTTTCATTGCCTAGGATTTGAAACTTCTCATCTCTTCCGCCACTCTTGATGCCGAAAAATTCTCTACCTTCTTTGATGATGCACCAATCTTCAGGATACCTGGAAGGAGGTACTCTTATAAATGCTTACAGTTGTTATCTGCGTTATGTCCATCTGATTCGCAGAAGTTTTTAAAGGTTTCCTGTGGATATCTATTATACACAAGCACCGGAAGCGGATTATCTAGATGCAGTTTTGGTTACTGTGATGCAAATTCATCTCACTCAGCCTCTTCCTGGCGATATTCTAGTATTCCTTACAGGTGGTGCTCTTAATTCTTTTTAATCTTGTGTCAGTTAATTTTCCGTGCTTGACAATCACATTGTCTATTGTCTATTACATTGCCTATCACAAAGAACGTCAATCTCTTCTGAAAGATTTACGTGATCATTTTGAAAATGCCTATAGTAATCTTAATACATGTTAACTCTCCAATATGCTTTTCACGTCTTCACTCTATTATCCACCGTAACAAACCGCCTCAGACAGGGCAGTCAATAAATTACAGGACAAGAAGAGATCGAATCTGTCCAGGAAGCCCTTATGGAGAAGACGAAAGCACTAGGAAGTAAGATCAAGGAATTGATACCTCTGCCGATATATGCCAATCTGCCATCCGATCTTCAGGCTAAAATTTTTGAGCCAACACCGCCGAATGCCCGAAAAGTAGGTCGCATGTTAGGATTAGGATCTACTTTTTTATACAAAGTTGGAGTTGTCTGCACATGACTTCCCGTTTCTGCTTTTAACTTCTGGTTAGACAACTTATGGCGTTCTGAATGATTTTTGCTTAGGTCATCCTTGCCACAAATATTGCGGAAACTTCAGTTACCATTGATGGAATCTGTTATGTCATAGATCCCGGGTTTTCAAAACAAAATTCTTTTGACGCAAGGAGTGGAGTTGAGCATTTGCATGTAGTTACAATTTCGAAGGTATTAGTTGATTTTCAGTCCATAACTGAAAATTTAGTTTTTATATGTAGGCAGCAGCGAATCAGCGGGCTGGGAGAGCAGGAAGAACGGGGCCAGGAAAGTGCTTCCGTTTATACACAGCTTGGGCGTACAAGCACGAACTTGAGGACCAACCCATTCCTGAGGTAGTCTCTGATAACATATTCGTTAATGAAGCATCTACAATTAACGCCTTTTTTACCAGATTTTCTCCTGCATTGTTTCAGATTCAAAGAACAAATTTGGGAAATGTCGTCCTAATGTTAAAATCACTCGGAATTCATGATCTTGTTCATTTCGACTTCTTGGATCCACCTCCTCAAGTGCGTTAATTTTTTTT